ATCATCTGCCCTGGATTCCCTGTGTTTCCAGTTCCTATCTGTACCAGTGTACACCCTCTGGTCTAGCCAGATTTGTAAGGCAGGATTGGGATCATGATAGTGGGGGAGGGAGAAGCATTTAGGAACTAGGGGAAAGTTGTATGTTTCATCATTGCTACATTGCACCCTGACTGGCTCGGTTGATTGAATCTTTCAATATTGCAACTCAAGGCTTGACTTTGTCTCCTGTTCTTTCAGCTTGAGAAATGCTGAGTTGTTCTTCCTCTTTGGCTTTCTAACTCCAAGTCATTTCCTGTATCACTATAATACTTTGCTTTGTTTTCTTGAGCTGCCCTTTGACATTATCTGTTCAGCTCTTTTACATCATCCTTCCATCCTCATTATCGACCCTACAATCAGGAGCAAGTTTCAGAGTGTCTCCTGGCAGCCATTTCTGTTCTTCTTTCTTGCCTTTTTCATGACCCTTTGCTTTCTTCATATGTGATTTTCATGATGTTAGCCCACAACTCAGCAGGTCTGCAGTCAGAAGTGTGCAGTGCATTAAATCTGTTCTTGTGGTTCTCTAAGTCCAGGTGGGAGTACTGGAATCACTCAAATCCTTAGTACTTGGTTAGTATTGGATGGTAAGTGGATCAAGTTTAAGGTCAATTTTCAGTTGTGGCTGAAACTTACTCCTGGTGATACCATTTTCTTATAGCAAAAGGGATACAAATATTGAACAGATGGGACAAGGTTCCTAACATGGATCTGCCATCTCTCAAGGGAGTTACTAACCTTCCACTGCACAGGGCACCACTCCAGGAAAATAACTTGTGACCAGTCTGCTACCGTTCACCTAATTTTTCCAGTCCAACATTTTAAATCCCACATGCCCTTGTAATGATATAGCCTCCATGATTAAAAAGAGGTAAAGGAACTAACCTTAGTTTTATGTGCATAAAAGCCCTGAACAGTTATCATTGTGATCATGGTGACTGACTTTGGGTGGAGTTTTCTTTAAATCATTTTATTGGGGGCTCATACAATTCTTATCACAATCCATACATACATCCATTGTGTCAAGCATATTTGTACATTTGTTGCCATCATCATTCTCAAAACATTTGCTTTCCACTTGAGCCCTGGTCCATTATCTTTTTTAAAATAATTTTATTAGGGGCTCATACCACTCTTATCACAATCCATACATATATCAATTGTGTCAAGCACATTTGTACATTCATTGCCCTCATCATTCCCAAAACATTTGCTCTCCACTGAAGCTTCGGTGGAGTTTTCAATTTTATCTTAGAGATATCTTAGCTGAATGCTGGGCCTTAGCAAGAAGAAGCACATTAGAGATCAGAATTAATACTTGGAAGATAGAGGAATACATCACACTTTTAAGGAGAGAAGGTACTAGGCTGAGCCTTAAGAAGGAAAGAAAAATGAGCCTGATTGGTCTGCAGGGACGGTGTATGCTCAGGGCAGGAGTTGGCAATAGGCAAGGCAGGGCACCGTAATTTGGTCTCACCTTGATCCTGTGTGTGAAGAGGCTTACCTGCCCCTGAGCTTGAGTCAAAGCCAGTGTGGGATGGAGGGTGAGTGCGATGGAGCTGACTCTGACAGACTAGGTTTGAAGACTGACTCCTCTACTTCGGGGCTATGTAACAATTTACCTACCCCTCTGAGCCTCAGCTTTTTCCCCACAGGAAATAAAATCAAATGCTTCCCTGTGTAATGCCATAGTGCCTGGCAAAAACACTCAAAACCAAACACAACCATTGAGTCAATGCCAACTCAAAATGACCCTAAAAGCCAGGGTAGAACTGCCTCTGTGAGGTTTCTGAGACTGTAACTGTTTATGGGTGTAGAAAGCCCCATCTTTCTCCCTGGCAACATGTCCCTAAATATCAGTTGTTGTTATTATTAGGCAGAGGGAATTCTTCAGAAGGAAAACAAACAAACAAAATATCACAAAGTCAAACACTGAATCTAAGCATTTGTTCTCTACAGTGTTTCCTATACTAGTTAAACCTGGGAACGGTCCACTAATAGTTAAGGAAGAGCTAGGTGGCTTACCCACGTAATGAAATGTTCTGCTGCTGTGGAAGATTTTCCCATGGAAGGCTATGTAGCAACCAATGTAGGCGAGTCTGAAGGACAGAAGAGACGAGAGAAGTGGGCGTTGTACAGACTACTTAGTCAAATAATAGCAATGTGAGGTGTCATGAGATTAAAAGTTAAAAACAAGTGGTATGGGATAAGAAGGATTTATAAATTCTGGTGATGGTATCCGAGATTGGTCAAGAGAGACTTCTTGGTGCAGATAGGAATTACGCTAGGCCTGAAAGGATGCACAGGACTTGTGTGGATTATAGAAGGCAGTTTTTTGTTGCTGTTGTTGTTGCGGGTTGTTGCTACAGAAGGAACTGCCACAATGCGGTGGGAGAGTACTCTGACAAGAGCTAATAACCCCTGGGGCCCAGGTCATGTGCCATAGAACACTGGGACATTGAACCCTGGGTCTCCTAGGTGCACAACACGGTTCAAAGGCCGTACCAGAGGGATACAATGTGGAAGCGCTACTAGGTGAACTAGGCTCTAGTCAAACACATCTGTGACCCCAGGGTTTAAAACCGAAACTACATGGTGTGTGAAGAAGCAGAAGACAGCTATACCAAGAGTTTTGAACTGTCAGTAGGCAGACTAACATTTGCCTACAACTTCAATGCCCTGCTTGCTGTATTAAGATATATATGACTCATATTATTCTGGCAGACCTGTGTGTGACATTGTCAGTGAATATTCTCATAAGTTTTACCTGACCACCAACTCCCATTGTTTGTGTAAATAGTGTCCAGTCACGTAAGAATTTATTCTGTATAAGTCAATAATTCGTGGATTGCCATTAGTAGTCAGCCTAAGCTTATTCAATCTCCCTTTCTCAATAGTGTTTTAAAATCATTACCAGGGGCTAAATCAATGACACTATATACAGAAGGACCTTATGATCCAGGGAGATGATCAATAAGTTTATCTATCATAAAATAACAACGATGTCTTTAAAGTGAACCAGAAGCAGATAGAAAACATGGATTCAGGAATAGATTTTGAGTTGCACTTAATTCTAGCTCCAGTTTAAGAACAACTAGTTCATATGGCATGGCCCTGCTCTATACTTGCCCTCATGAAGGAAACATGGAAGATACAAGTGCTATAGCAAAGTGTGGTGAAAAAATTGGGTGGTTCTTGGCTATCAGAAAGAATTGTAACTGAAAAAAAAAATAAAAGAATAGCAGCTGGGGGTCTTAAAGGCTTGTTTTCAAACAAGCAACCATCTAAGTGAGATGTCAGCTACGCCCACATGCAAGAAACACACCACAATTGGATCACAAATGATATCCAAATCCAAAGGAGGGAATAGTATCAGGGCATACATAGTGAGATTCTGGTTTTCAGAAGGCTATGGATGACAGTGTGAGCCCAAAATATATTCGCAGGATCTACACAGGGAATAAGCCTCCAGTGATTTACTTCTGACCATAATTGAGGGATGGGAATAACCTGGTTTATCAGACCGAGAATATTGTAGAGATGACAATAGCAGATTAAAATGATAAATCTCACTGGAATGGTTAAAGCCTTGTCATTTGATTTCCCTTTTGGTACACATTGTGCTTGATCTGATATTTAATATTTTCTGTGGGGGTTTTTCATATTAGGGTTTACCTTTATTGTAATTTATCATTGTTGGTAGCCTTCTTGACTCTGCTATATATTTTTACACATTTTTCAGTATATGAAACCCAGAATGGATGACTCTATAGAGACAATAACTGGAATAACAGTTCGGGGGTATGACAAGAGAGGTGGGGGTGCAGGAGGTAATGGGGAGCTGATATCAAGGAGAACAAGAAGGCAGAAAATGTTTTGAAAATTATTGTGGTAGCAGTTGTACAACACTATTTCCATAAAGATTTACAGCCTCAGGAACCCTTTAGAGCAGTGGTTCTCCACCTTCCTAATGCCACGACCCTTTAATACAGTTCCTTATGTGGTGGTGAGCCCCCCCCCAACCATAAAATTATTTTTGTTGCTATTTCATAACTGTAATTTTGCTACTGTTATGAATTGGGCGACCCCTGTGAAAAGGTCATTTGACCCCAAAAGGTATTGGGACCCACAGGTTGAGAACCACTGCTTTAGAGGGTCACCATGAGTCAGAATCGACTGGAGGCAGTGGGCAAATTGTACACCACTACTTGATATGACTGAACTATTGAATGGTACAATGTTTGGATTAAGTCCTAATAAAATGATGTTTTTGTTGTTGTTTTCAAAAAAGGTGACTTAATCTCACAAATGAATTTTACTAAAATAAATACTTCTCAATGCAAGAGAGAGCGAGCTAGTAGACTCATCTAGCTCAACCAAAAGAATGTGTCAAGACAAGGTCATAAACTAGGCTCACATTCATGGGGTAACAACCCCGAATGCCAGGCCAAATTGTTTTTATTTGATGTTATCAGCCTTTTGAGCAGAGCAAAACACCTGAGGAGAAATTGCAAATGTGAGAGACTACTGACAATCCATCATCTCTCTCAAGGAGCTAAGTGTCTGAGCTTTGGGACAAGTCGGGCAAAGGTCTGATCCAAGGTGCGAGGAATATTTAGAATGTTAGCACCATCTCTATCTTTTGTCCTTCTCATCCCCATGGCTTTCCACATCCACTTTTCCCGTGATCCTCTTCCCACATGGATATGGGCTACCAGTGTCTGCTCCTCTGGGGGGTTCTGTGGGGTGGGGGTGGGCTGCTAACCAGAAAGTCTCTGGTTCAAGCCCTTCAGTTACTGCACAGGAGAAAGATGAGGCTGACTGCTGCCATTAAGACTGACAGCCTCAGCAGCCCAACGGAGAGGGTCACTATATGTCAGAATCCGCTGGAGACAGTGGGTTTGATGTGGTGGTTGTGTTTGGTGTAGGGCTCTTCTCATCAGTGCCTCTTGTCCCCTTGACAGGTGCCTGCTCACGCATCCAGGGCTTGCTCCGGGCCAGCAGTGTGGAAGCCATTGCTGGGAAACAGGATGAGCCAGACCTCAAAGGGAAAGCCCTTTCTCCCCCCCCACCTCCATCAGTCCCTCCCCCCTCGGCTGAGATGGGGCATGCTTTTCTGGAGCATGAGGCCAGGAGACCAGGCTGAGTGCACGTCCGTCGCCAGGGTGCCCCCAGCCTTCCGCTTTGGGCTGCAGCACTGTGTACGCCTCAAGCACCAGTATGTTAAAAATGCTGCTGCAGACCTCACCTTCTCCCAGGAGGTAGTATGGCAGCGAGGGCTGCCCAGCGTTCCCTACAGCCAGTGCACCTTTGACCACATCTACAACACAGACACCATCATCCAGCCTCCCAAAGGCAGGAACACCCAGCCCGGGAAACCTGTCAGCTTCCGGGTCTTGGACTCCTCAGGGCCCTCGGCAGTGGTCATCTCTCAGGCTGTGAAGACGAGGCGTCTTGTCCATCTTAAAAAGAAGCTGAAGAAATCAAAGGTAGCCAGCACTGTCCAGGAAAAGTCTCCTGGCCTTCAATCTGATAAAGAACCATCTCTGGTGGGCTTGGCACCCTCTCTAGATGTGGACCTGGAAGAGAGGGAAGTCTGGCTTTCGCCTCTGGAGAAGGAGACCAGAGCCTGGGAGGATCTCATGCTTCAGCAGCTGAACCAGCGCACGGCCCGGTGGATCCTGAACAAGCGTCCGCTGAGGCCTGGCGTATCCCCCAACAAGTGGCAGAGCTTCCTGCATCAGCAGTATGACTGGAGCCACATCCGGGATGAGCTCACCTCCACCAGTGACCTGGAGCTCCTGGATAAGCTGGAGGCAGAGGAGGTGGCAGAGTTTGAGGGCAGAAGTGTCCCTGCACCCAAGCAGGAGAAAGAAAAGCCAGAGCTCCTGCTTCCCGTTTACTATAGGTAGGTAGTCTGGCCCAGACCTCGGGCATCCCTTAAGCACGCTGGCTCCCCTTCAAGGGCTTCTGGGTGGGTTCCTACTCCTCATTTCTGAATGCCCTCCATCAATCCCACCTGTACCCTCCCACCACCCACCTGCTCTCCATGGGATTTCCTTATAGCAAGGCTTCTCCACCTGCCCTGTGCACTGTAGGGTGTGCACTAGATGCCAGTAGTCCCCTTCAGATGCCTGCCTTAAAGAGATCCATTTGCAAGTTTTCCAGCTAACTTGGCTATCCGGCTGAGTCCGTTACTTCCAGGGGCTGGCAGAAATCCATCCTTATGGTGAGAGCAAGGCGTAGAGACTTCGTGGCTCTGAGATTTGGTCCTGCCTTGCTTCGAATAAGAAACCAGGGTGGCATTGACTGGAAAACTAACCAGCAGCAGGGAGAGAGCCAAACAGCTGGCTAGTGTCGGACTGCTTAGTGCAGCTCAGTCTCAGAGAGTGTTGCTTTCTCATACGTGGCTATCGCCATGGAAACACCAGAGCGATGATAACCCCTGCGATTCCCCAGCTGAACTACCAAGAGGTGGAAATCCATTTATTTATTCATTTATTGAACAGCTAGACACTGTGTCCCAGCTCCTTGTCCAAGAGATACTCTGTGAGGTGCTGGCAGTACAACGTAAATGCGAAAGACCTGGGTCCATCCTTTCTTTCCATTTTCCCCAAAGACTTTTTGAAGCCCCCTTAGGACCCCCCACACAATAGAACAAGTGGGATCACCTAGGAATTAAGGGTCCTTCCCAAGGATATGCAAGCCCTCAGGGTACTGATGTCACAGAAAAGGCTCTGCCGGGGTCGGGCCACACTGGCATGCCACCTAGTGGCTGCAGAACAAATAACTCCATTCCTGGAGAAGGAAAGTGGCCGTCCATAGGCTCTCTGACAGCGCCATATCCGCTGGCTTTGGGGACAAATTCAGCATAGCTATTCTCAGGATGTTCTGGTATGGGCTGAGCTTAAAGAGGGGACGGGTCCCACCTTTACCTTCCCTCTCATCTTCCCTGCTCTTACCCCTACTAAGACTGCCTGGGTGCTTGCCACAAGCGCAGACAAGTGAAGTGGTGCCTGGGGCCAACAAGACTGCTGAGGACATCAGTGTGACACCAGGAAACTACCTGTCCCCAGACCAGAGCCACTACAGGCAGGTGAACCCCCGAGCTGGCAAGTTTGCTTACTCCACGGCCAACACCTTTGAACAGGAGATTTACTTTGGTAATAGAGCTGGGGCCCTGGGGTGGGAGGCAGGGCCGGGGAGGTGGGAGGCAGTTGGAGGAGAGGCATGGCGGTGGGTCCATGGCTTGTCTCTGGAGGCACCCTTGGGTGTGGGTGTCAATGAGAAAGACATGGGCCTGATGACCTGGGCGGTCATGCCCAGGCTATCAGCGCTGGAGTTGGGGGAAAGCGGGCAGCAGTAATTGGCTGAAGAGGAAGCTATTTCCCCTCTCCCCCTTTCTCTAGCCTTCTCTTTCCCTAAGCAGGCTGGCAGTGGACAGTAGGCAGGGTTTGCTTTGTGAAACAGCTGCCCTCTTCTCTAGCCCCTCTACCTCTCCTCCGTCCACCCTTCTCTCTTCTGTCACCTTGAGCTGTTGCCTGACGGAGGTGACACGTGGAAGGGAAGATATGGGCTTTACAATCAGGCAGATCTGGGTTTGAATTCTGGTTTGGCCACTTCCCAGTAGTTGGCAGCAAAGAATCCCTTGGAGCCTGATTGACCTAGTAAGGAGCATGCGAATGCTTTTGACTGCTTCTTGACCACTGCCTGGCACCTCGTAGGGCTCAATAAATGCCCGCTACCTTCCCTCCCACAGGAGCCCTGGTGGTGTAGTGGGGATGCATTGGGCGGCCTACTGCAAGGTCAGCAGTTCAAAACCACTAGCTGCCCCACAGGAAAGAAAGGAAGCTTTCTACTCCTATAATGTCTCAGAAACCCACGGAGGCAGTTTTTCTCTGTGCTAGAAGGCCTCTGTGAGTTGGGGTTGATTGGATCATAGTTGAGTTTGATTTTTTTTTTTTTTTTTTGGTCCCTTCCCAACTTGTGATCCTTGACAATAGTCTGTTCCTAAAGTGGATGATTCTGCCGCTTGGAGGTGCTGGGACAATCCAGAGAGGCTGCAATAGTAGTGGAAGGAAGGAAGGAAGGAAGGAAGGAAGGAAGGAAGGCAGGAAGGAAGGAAGGACGGACCTCACTACCAACACAACTGCCCCTGTGGGTTTCCAAGACTAACTCTGTACAGGAGTAGAAAGCGCTTTCTTTCTCTTAGAGCAGCTGGTGGTTCTGAATTGCTGCCCTTGTAGTTAGTAGCCCAACGCGTGACCACTACAGCATCAGGGCTCCTTGCCATAGCAGTTACCTACCCTGTTTCCTAGATGATGGATCTAGTAGAAAAGGATTTAATTGCTGGGCGCTGACTCCCCCTTTCTTTCTCTGAAAAGGGGGCAGGTCAGCCATGCTTTTCTTCCAAGTTTTTCTTCTTCATTGACCTCATCCTGCTCTTAAACTGCTGTCAGTGAAAAGTCTCTTAAAAGTGTTTAACAGACGGAGGGAGGAGTGGGGAGGGAGGGGAGGAAATGAGCTGATATTAAGGGCTCAGGTAGAAAGCAGATGTTTTGAGAATGATGACTGGCAGCAAATGTACAAATGTGCTTGACACAATGCATGTGTATATGGATTGTGATGAGAATTGTACAAGCCCCCAGTAAAATGATTTTTTAAAGTGTTTTAACAACATAGAGTGAGGTACTCGTGGCTGATAAAAGATGAACTAGGTAGTCTTTCTCAAGTATCTAGCTCCTCAGAGGGGACAATGACTGTAAGCTAAATAGGTTGTGCCTTCCTGATGGAAATCATCACCGTCGGGGCTCTTAGATGTCCACGAGCAGTTTCTAAGAGCCCATCAATGGCGCCCCCTCAGAAGGATGCGGCACAGTGTGGTGGTCAGGAGGCACAGGGACTGACAGCAGGACAAAGGAATCTGATCGTGGAGACTAGACACCCAGGAAGAGAGGTAAGAAGGAGGTACTGGGGCTCTCATTAGTTTTGTCTATCCACAGACAATGTCCAGATCGTTCGGAAGGCCGGTGCCAAGAGAGACCAGATTTTCCTGGAAAACTCCAATCAGTACAGCAAGCAGCTGCGGAAGGTCTTCCCTGAAAGTCCAGAAAAGTGGAGCTCCCAACCAGTTCCTGAAGCACGTAAGCCGGAAGCTGGGCATGGGGGCAGTGATGGGTGTGCGGCTACTTCTTTAAGGTCCTGACTACTACTTCGTTAAGGCCAAGGCCTCGGGTCTCCCCGGCTGCTGGGGGAGTCCCTCCCTACCAATGAAAAGTCGTCTCCTACAAAGTAGCAACTGTTAACTACAGAGAGTCCAATGAGGTATCCTTTCGGGTGAAATCTCAGCGCAGCCAGGTGGCTTCAGGCCAGGACTGACTAATAAGGATGGTCACATCTCAAATATTTCCAGGGGCTGTCAACCCCCTGGCCCAGTCCCACCTGCGCTGCCCATTCCTCTCGGACTGCCTCTGCCTCCTTAGTCTCCACGCAAGCCCATTTCACCTCGGTCCAAGGCCTTCCTCTCAGACTCTGAGAAGAAGTCTATGGCTTCTCATTCCGTAAGACACATGGGAAGCGGAGCAAGACTTGAGCTCCTGAAGCAAGACACATGTATCCTTCAAGACACTGTGTCTCCATTTCTCGCAACTCTTTGCTTTGCAGCCTCACTATTCGGATGGGCTCCCTGGTCCAGCAGTAGCGACACCTTCTTGTCTTCCCCAGCCCCTACCCTTCGGCTCTCTAGTGCCACCTGGCTAGACAGCAGCCACCAGGGTGAGGGGGTGCTAGTGGAGGCAGCTCTAGGCAGCTCCCCCACGCTCATGCCCTCCCCTCCTTTGGATGCAGACAGGCCTCAGGGCAGGTCCTGTAAGTCACCTTCCTGGGCTTTAACTGCTTCATTAAAATGGAGAAACTCCTTCCTACAGCGAGGCACTGTGTGAGGGGCACTTGGAGGAGATGCTCTATCCGGCATCTGAGTTAAAACGGCCTGGGGTCTCCTGGCCCTCTGTGAAGTGCAGGGTCCTCGCAGCTCAAAAGAAAGACAAAGATTCAGAGCCAACATACAGGTGTCTGAGTTGCAGTGAAATTGTAATAAACAGAAATGGTTGAGAACCTAAGCCTGATGGGCAATGCGTGGCAAGCAGTGACGTTAGCAAGGTGAGGCGGTTTCCTGCTCCTCCACCAGCTTCCTGTCTGAGACAGCGGAGGCTTTCTGAGCTCTTGGCGATCCCAGAGGCCATTGAGTCCAGAACACAAAACGATCTAATGATATTTTTAAAGATTTTTTTAAATTCACAGATCATACACAATTCATAGTGCGATCAAGAAGTGCTGTACAATCATTAGCATAATCAATGTTAGAACCTTTTCTCCTTTCTTGTACTCCTTATTAGCTCCCCATTTCCCCCCAGCCTCGCTTGATATATATATATATATATATAACTATTTTTATATAACCACTTTATGTACAGCTATCACAGTGTTTATATGATATTTACAATTTCCTTTCTTGTTCTGAGATTTATTGTCGTAACTTGGAAGATCTTTCAAATTCAGCGGCTTATAGAACCATTCCTCTCTCACATTCAAAACATTAAAAAAGACAATCTAGTTCATCTGTTAGGAATCAGTGGCTAACTACCCATGATTGGTGCTATGTCAAATGTTAAATATCTTATGAGCAAACCTTGTTACGTATGGTGTGGTGGTTACATGTTGGGCTGCTAACCACAAGGTCCGCGGTTCAAAACCACCAGCTGCTCCGCAGGAGGAAAATGGGGCTTTCGATTCATGCAAAGAGTTATAATCTCAGAAACCCACAGGGGCAGTCCTACCCTGTCCTATAGGGTGGCTGTCAGAATCGGCTTGATGGTAGTGAGTTTGGGGGATGCTCCTGGAGATTTATTTAACTTCTAAAAGGGTTTGTACAGATTGCACTTTCCCTCATCATCATGGTGGTATCATCTCCTCTCCCTCCCCACCATGGCTTTTTCATTTCTGTAGTCAGGACTTCGCTGGACTCTCCACTGGGCTTATATACTCAGCTCCATCTAGAACCATGGGAAAATGTACTCTGTAGAGTCTGGTGGTCCTTGTTGTTGGCCAGGTGGAGGAAAGTGACGTAGCTGGAAAGGCTAGGTGGCAGGGCTTAGGGCACTCGGGGGAGAGGACCTGACGCTGCCATGTTATGACAGCTTGTAGGCCCAGGAAAGGGGGTGTACGCTGGGCCGCTTTGCCCATCCCAGCCAAGAATCTGCTGCTGAATGAGGGTGAGCAGGACACATACCCAGAGTCTGGGAGGCTGCGGACACAGGCAAAGACACTGATGGAGAACACGACCTGGCAGCTGATGGTCCTGCGGAGGATGCTGCACGAATGGAAGGCGGCCTGGTCTCTGAGTAAGTGAAGGGAGGTCCCAGGGCATTGGTATGTGTTTCAGACGGGGTGGTCTCACCTTGGACTAATGTGTCTCCATCTTTTAAAATCCCTCCCTCACCAAAGCTGGACGAGTCTTGCAGTGTTGTCAGATGAATGCTCATATATCCGGGTGCTTCCAGCAAGGGTAGCAGGCGCAGATCATATCCCGTGATACTTCAGTAATTTGTGGAAACTCACAACCCTGAGAACTAGGCAGGGACCCCATCTTATTCATCTCTGAAACTTTATGCTCAGTAAATAATGCATAAAAGGCAGGATGGAAAAATGCTGCCCAAGTAATGGAAATGTTGCAACCAAAAGAAACCAGAAAGAATTTAACACAGAGAGATAGCCTATGAGAGAGAACTGGGGTGTTCCATTTGGGAACTGAGAAGGTCCGTAGAGACCAGAGAGATACCTCCCCCAGGGATTCCATTTCTAGCGCTCTCTGTTGTTCAGAATTGGTGTTCTGGTTGAATATTGTGCTGGGGAAATGTGACTCCGTGTCACCTCTCTACAGCCAAGCATCTCAATCTAACCACGTGGCTCTCTTCCATTCCTGCACTGCGCCAGTCATCGAGTGGTCCCATCAGACAGTGGAGGGCCTACATCGGAGCTTGACAGGCATGCACGATGGCATTCGGATCCAAGCCATCATCACGTGTGCCATGGCAGCGCTGGAGCGGCCCCGAATTGCCACTCACCAGGAGGACTCAGGTGAGAGCCAGGACTGGACTACCTATACACAACAGAGTGCCACAAAACATTGAAACAGGTGGAGACATCAGAGCTTTTCTGAGATCACACCCCATGTGGCCATCAAG